GGCGGGGGCGGAGCCCGAGCCCTGGCGTACCGGTTTCCCTCTGGGAAGGGCCCTCGGGAGGCTCCGGCCTGTGTGGCTCCGCGGGGAGGGGGGCGTTGGAGCGCCTCGCCTCGCCGCGCACCGTGCGGCGCCCCTGCCTGCCCTCGCCGGGGTACCGCGCTTTTGCTCGCTCCCGTGGCGTGTTTGCCGGTGTTGGTAAGCAGGGCCCGGGGGGCTGTGGAGTTTGAAGCGTATCACGGAGCTGCGCTGCCGAGGTTGCTTTGCCCGGACGCCCCCGTTTGGTTTCTGCAACCCTTGCTGTGCCCAAGAGCGTCTCCGTTATCTGCAGAATGCAGTCGTGCTCTTGGGATGACTCCTGGAGACCGGCCTTTTCGTGCCACGCTAAGAGATACAAAGCCCCCCCCAAAAGACTCCTAAACCACTTTGTTATCTAGTCTGACCATCAAAAGACTCCTAAAACACTTCATTGTCTAGTCTGGTATCTTTGTTTCCTGTGAAAAGTACGGTGAGACTTCATGAACGGCTTGGACTTAAACCAGCGTATTCCCTGCTGGCACTGCTGCCTTTTGCTAAAGTACAAAATCATGCTAACGATTTGCCCAAGAAATACTTAATAACAGTTTCACCATCACTGCTGGAGTTGTAGGAGCTATTCTACATAAGGTTTTTTGCTATTTGTGGAAGGCTAGTACTCTGTTCTCATGCTTTTCTTCCATCTTTCCCTCTTCAGTGTGCATAACTGCCTGTTAAGGTTCTATGTGGTTATTTGAGAAAGTTTTAAACAAAAAGATAAAAGTACGTAGTAATTAGTCTTGCAGGTGCATGGCATTAACAGTTCTTGTCAGGAATACACTAAAATGTGCTTCAGATCCACATGCTGGCATCTGTCAGGCAACTTGCTTCCCATGTGTTTTTGGTATCATCTGACTAATTCAGTTTTTCGTTAGCTTTTAGCCCAAAGGCTGATTTTTCCAGTCCTTGCTTGCTTTTCAGTTCACAGGTATAACAGTTGGTATGGTATAAAAACTTAAATACTGGAATTTGGCTGTAATGATGTTTTTTGTTAATGAATGTTGGTTTTGTTCAAGTAAATCTTCTGCTGCCTTTGGCAGGTGAGTAAATCGTGGTAGTTTTCCAAACTTGTTTACATATCTAAATGGATGAAACTTAATGGCTTACTAGAACAAAGTCATAAACTAAAAAGGTGGAAACAAGACCTTGAAATCAAACCATCAGCATTTCACTTTTGGTTGAGAGGGTTTTTGTGAGCCCTTGAGCAGGCAATGTGTTTGTCAGTTATCATCTCTGGGCCTTGACCGTGTGAATATATAGTATTTTCTTCCTATGTAACAGGAGTATCTCCCTTCTGAGCAGAGCCAATGTTTCCTCTGCATGAACTCTGGCTTGTGCTAGGTGATCCGAGAGGTTATTGCCCCCCTGGCTGCCTGAGCTTTAAGTTGAAATTAGTGGTTTGATCTGGACTGTTTGGCTAAGCTGCTCTGAATGCAGTAACAGAGTGTACACTTGCACAATATCCTGCTGGTTCTCAGGTGCTTAAAGAAGTTGTTCTGTTCCCTTCCATGCACAAGCTTTGGCACTTGTCCGACTGCACAGAGAGCCAGGTCAATTTATTAACTGGATCGCTGGGCGAGCGAGTTGAACTAGCTTGTACTGTGAGGTGAGTGCCAGAGCCAGCACCAGGGATGGAGCCTTGAAGTGAAGAGTTGGGGAATGACACTGCCGCTTTCAAGGCCAGCGGGCTGTCATATTGCTGCAGCTGCATTACCTACTGCACCCTAAAAAGCCCCTACGTGCCTGCTTCTGTGGATGGTGGTCTCTGACAGAGGAGAGGCCAGGGCTGCTGGAAGCTGTAGCTCTGTAAGTTGCCAAGTGTGATTCAGCAATGGCTGCCTGAAGGCCTTCTTCGTCTCCTCCTGGAGCTGGCCTCGGGTGCTGAAAAGTTAAATATGCAGCATGTGACTAAGGCCTCTCTGTGAACATAATCTGCACTGCATGCGTGTGGGGTTAGCAAGGGGATGCTGAGCCTTTAGCTGTGAAAATATCTAATACATCTGCTCAACTAAAGATTGTACTGCAAGTAGATTGCTGTATGTGAGCTGGTCGCCAGCTTTGTATTCAGCTGAACATAAATGTTTGCATGTATGTATGCATTTGTAGTAAGAGCAGGCTGTTGCAGAGATGGTGGCTCAGGCATGTTTGAAGGACTGGTTGATTTCTTCCCTGAACCTATTAAAACACCATATTTTCAGGTTGTTATGGTTCAACTGCCAAAACTTGCCTTGTGTTAAAATCGGGCAAGCTGTAAAACCCAAACGCCTCCCTTACTTGCCTCTTCACCTACAAGCACACTCAGATCTGTGAAACAAGTAGTTATTGGTACTTCATGTGATTTATCTGAACTTGAGCTGAAGCTACACTTCCCTGACAGAAATCCTTCCTTATTAAAGCTGCTTTCAGAGACCTCAGCAACTCCCTTGGACTCCATGGCAATTCAGGTTTCTCTAAGTTGGCTCTTCCAGAAGCAATCCAGCTCTGAGCTGATGGACAGCACTAGGCTGGTTCAGGTCACTAAGGTGGCAGAGAAGCTGCGGGTTACATACTGGAAATGTGGTGGCTTAAAGTGGTTTGAACTGTTGAGGTAGTTCACCCTCAGGTTGTTCCTCCCACCCTTGGGCTGGCATTCTTTCAGTCATGCTTGCACCGGTACTCATGATCTCCACGAAAACGTGTTGCTTTTCTGGAGAAAGTGTGGTAGGAGTGAGAGTGGTTGCTTGAGTCAGTTCTTTGATGTGGCCCATCGTTCCTTGGTGCTAATGCTGGCAAGCGGAGAGGCTGAGAACTGGTAACTGGAGTTGGGGAAGTGGGGTGGGAGTGTGCTGGGTACCCCTTTCAGTAGCACTTTGCGTGATTCTGGTTCCACAGTCACCTCAAAGTGTGCTAGCTCAGCTGTCAGACTGTCAACCTGACCTGTGGAGCATGGTTTTACAAAGCAAGCAGTGGATCAAAGAAGAATCACAAAGAATCACAGAATGGCAAGGGTTGGAAGGGACCTCGGGAGATCATCTAGTCCAACCCCCCTGCTAAAGCAGGTTCACCTAGAGCATGTTGCACAGGACTTTGTCTAGGCGGGCTTTGAATATCTCCAGAGAAGGAGACTCCACAGCCCCCCCTGGGCAGCCTGTGCCAGTGCTCTGAAGCACGGGGGGAAGTGTTAACCTGCAGGGCGGGGGAAGGAGATCCCTTGGGGTGTCTGGACTGCCGGAGGATTCATCACAGCAGCACAGCCTGAGTGCAGCAAGCGTAGACCAGCCTGACTTGCTTTAGCAGCACTGAAATAGTATCAGTAACTGCTCTACTAACCTAGGGGTTGGTTAGCCTCTTCGGGATGTGTTCAGTTTGTTGGTTGAGCCTTGTGCATTTAAAGGCATTTAAAGCAGCTTGCCCAATACATGAAATGCAGCATACAGAGAAAATAAGCTTGATTGTATTCATATTTTTATCTGAAGTTGGATAGATTCTTGGAAGTACTATCAGTGCTTGTATGGATGTGCAATGGATGTGAAGAAAATATTTCTGTGAGAGAATAATTGGTGTAAATATTACCGTGGAACGCTTATTGGCAGTAGGTTTATTATCTGGAGCCCTTGGTGCTCAATTCATGTTTAGCATTACAATATCTTAACAAAACCAAACCCTGTTTCGTATCTGCAGTGGCTCCTTTGAGTAGGGTTATCCTGAATTGTGCGGTAGCGTCGGGACTCAGTTTTTCATTGCAGCTATTGTGGGTTAAAAGATTTTTAGGACAGACCACTTCTGAGTGCTCAAAGGCCAAGGGGTATTTAAGAAAAGTACCGCTAAACACAAGTTCACATCAAAACTACCAGTTCCTGCAAACTGTATCTAAACAATTGAGAGGTTTTAATTAAATGCTAGGGAAGAAGTTACAGGTGGTGGTGTTGGAGATTAGGTTAGGTGGTTATGGGTTCCCTTTGGCCTTGATTTATATGCTAAACTTG